CCTGGCGAAGCGGGGGATTGAGAGTGATCCTTACTTATCTTCGAAGTTTTAATCTATGATTCAAAGGGTAATTTAAGTCCTAATAAAGACGAATTAGAAATTTAGTAGTTTTAAATTTAAATTTTAATAATTTTTTTAGGGTCAAATTATAAGAAATTTTTTTTTTCATGAATACCTTAATTTCAAAATGAATAACTTATTTTTGACCAAACAAAAGAAAGAATTAGTCAAAATATTCGTAAACATGTCTGAACAGTCTTCACTATTGAAACAAACCAAAAAAAAGAGGGGGGTGGAATTTTTGTCATACCCTTTCTAATTTACTATATCTTCAAGGATATCTTTCTATTATCCAAAATATTGTTGACACTTTTTTTAGTTTATATTTAATATTACTGACACCCTTTACCGTTAAACTACCATTTCTAACAAAAAATTTTATCTAAAATATCAAAATTATCTCTACATAAATCCCAAAATAAATTTTCTACATAAAATTTGAGCCGATTAAAATTCCAATCGAGCTAATTAAATTTTATTTTTTTTTCATACTAAAATATAAGCCTATTAAATTTTTTTATGTATTAAAATTCGAGTCGATTTAAGTTATACTTGAGTTGTTAGCGCCAATTAAAATTCTATTTAAGTTGATTAAAATTTAATTTTTATGTATTACAATTTGAATTGATTAAAATTTATATTTTTTTATGTATCAAAATTCGGGCCCAATTAAAATTCAATGCGAATTAATTAAAATTTGATTCGAGCCAATTAAAAATAGAATTTTTTTTAATCTACTCAAATTTTAATACATAAAAAAAAAATTTTAATTAGTTCAAATGGAATTTTAATCGGCCTGAATTTTAATACGTAAAAAAATTTATAAAACAGAAGAAGTTTCATTAAAGATATATCTATTTAGAGGAGATGCGGATGAAATTTTTTCTAAAATATCATGGGCAATTTAATAAAATCGTATTTTAGTTAACACTTTTAATTTTGTAGGAGGTGTTATTGAAGATTCAAATAATAGAGGGGATGTTTTTAAAGATATGATAAATTTAAAAAATGTGACTAAAATTTTCTAAAAAAAAAAAAAGTTCTAATCTACAAGAATGTGCAAGAGAATGATAAAATTCAAAGAAGCAAAGAAAATTTAGTTTTAATGAAATGTCATATAAAAATAGACCCTGAAATGAACAGTTCATTAATCATCTGCCTGTATTTGGTCGATGTAAGATGGTGATTTCTTGTAATTTTTTATTTTCTTATAAGATTATAGTGATGGAACTCTTGGAGTAAAAACTTAAAAATTAGACAAGTACAGGAACAGGCCAGAGCATGAGGAGTACGATTTGGATGACTTTGTGTTGGAGTTAGGTAGTTTCACATGCACAAAAAACTTTTTTAGCCTTTGGAGTTTGAAATTTGGCCCATCACGAGCCCTGTCTTCTAAAGGCCACCATCACCTTTAGAGGCCTCCTTTACGTCTTTAATGCTGCTTACTTAAGAATGGGTCCCCACCTTGACTTCCACCCTGAAGGACTGGTCTTGATCGATTCACTCACTCACTGGTTGATTATTGAGGAATCCGTTCCTGCTCCTCTTCCACCACTACTATTTTCGTTGTTGTTGTTGTTACTATCACCATCACTAACATTACAATCATCTTTTTTTTTAATATACAACTTTTACTCTAGTCTAATCGAAAAGAGAAAAAAAAATAAAAATTACTAACGATTAGGAATGATCAAACCTAATTTTAGGCCTAACTAAAATTAAACTTGGGCATTCCATAAAAGTTGGAACGAGATTTGAATTGAGATATAAGGAACTTTGTCGCCCGGGTTAGGCCCATAGTGCTACTCCTCTCCTCGCCTCTCTCTCTCTCTCTCTCCCCCCTCCCCCCCCTCCTTTTTAGTGGTGAAATTTTTCAGTCATATTATTTTTCTCATTTCTTTTTAATGATATGTCACCTAATATGCTATCAATTGGGACTCACTATTGGTAAGTAGAATCCCATATGATTTAGGATTAAAAAAAATTAAGATAAAAAGTACTAAAGAGGATAAGAATTTACATGTATTATTGAAGGTTACGGCTTGGAAGCCTTAAATTGGTATTGGCTTGGGTCATTACGAACTTCTATTGCACTAGTGCTTTTTGTTGCGTAGGTGCATATATAGGCTTTGCCATACCCATACACAAAAAGCACCAAAACTTTTAAAGTGCTTTGACACCCCATGGATATGTACCAAACTTCCAAGCAGTAACATGGATTAAGAGGGACAAGACGTTAGTTAGCCCCATATTGAAGATCTTTAGGCTTAGATCTTCAAAGAATTTTGTGGCATAAAGTATTTGGAAGTATGCACCCATGGGTAAATTCCTATATGACGAGACACTTACCTAAATACTAAATACGGGAAGGGTTCAACTATCCGATGTCGATATCACATATTTCTTTTTTTTCTTTTTTTATGTTTTTTTCTAATGAAAACTTGACACGTTTAGAGATTATTTATTTTATTATTTTATTTTGTTTTATCATTTTCACAATCAATGATCATAATAAATTACAAGAAGAACAAAAGGCCCAAAATTATTTAAAGGTATGATACTGATTTTTTTTCCTAGTACCATCATCCTATTCATAAGGGAATAATAGCATGCAAATGGAAGTTGGGACTTGGGACTTGAGGACATGATTTTCTTCACTTCACTGGATCTTGATTCCATTACTGGCCATGCAGTTCGGTTTAGCTTTTGAAATTTAGGTGTGTATTTGCTGTGGCATATGACTTGTCTTTACCGTGTCGTGTAGGGTTTAATCAGCTATCAGCACCATTCTTCATCATATCTTTTGGTCAAGTCACTCTTCTGGGTTGATGCTTACTGGGGGTGGGGTCATTTACAAGGTGTTTACGCTTCAAAGTGACAGTTGTGACAACCCAACCTAATTACTATTGGCTAGCACTTCAAAATTTAAACAGTAATACTATATTTACCAAGTTTTTTATTAATTTTTTTATTTCAAGTGATGCGGCACAATGTCGATCATTAAATATTAATAGAATTCATTTATTTAATGGTAAAAACTGTGTTACATTACTTGAGATAAAAAAATTGGTAAAAAATTCTAATCTCCATAGCATTGTTGAAATTTAAAAAAGATATCTTTGATGCAACACTGCTAGAATTCTGAATTTTTTTTCCTTTGCATCCTAAATAAATATGGGTAGTTAGATCAAAACGGGTTCGAATTAAAAAAAATTAATGTGATGTAATATCATATTGATTTTAGATGCAAAATTAGGAAATGATTTGGAATACTTATCATTGTTATTGTGGACGTGTATTATTTTTTAATTGTTATTTTTTCTAAAGGACGAGAGACATTTATATTAAACCCACCTCTACGGGGTAAATCTCAATAACACACTAATCGCAAATATCTATTTCATAAAGGAGTTATCGACAAAGTTGAACCCAAAACACTCAATTTACTTTTACAAGTCAAATCTTGAGATACGCGTAGGGAGTTGAGTTGCTGAATCTCCCTCACTTCTGTTAGGCAAAAATAAGTTAAGTATTTCGATCACTAGTTCAAAGAGTAAAATCGACGAACTGTAACCCTTGATGTCTTGAATTTGAATTTTAACAATCTCTTAGATTTAAATGTAAATGACCTACTTTGATTGAATTAGAGAAAAAATTAGTCGAAATGTGTGTAAGTTAATTTGAATATTTCTGAATATATAAAAAAAAGAAAAAGATAATAAGGTGAGTAAAGTGATGGAGATATGTAGAGTCCTTGCACTTGCAGTGCTGTCCTAATTGGTAAGAAATTTCAGCCAGTTGGCTAAACTGAGCTGGATTGTACAGTGATGCAGCTTTGTTATAAAGTGGGTGTTGATGGAAAAGAAGTAAAGAAGAAGCCGAAAGAAGAGAAACGTAGTCAAAGGAAGGAAATCTCAACCGTCCTCCATGGGACTCATGGCACAGAAATTTAAAGACTTCTTATACAGTAGAGATCGAAGCTTAGTCCCACCACAATAAATTCGTAAAGGTATTTTTTCCCTCACAAGTACGGACCCGTAGGGTCCACGCGGAGGAGTCAAAGTTTTTTAATATTTTTTTTCTTTCATACATCATTCACCCTATATTTAAAACTAAGAAATTCGGAAACAGATCCAATATTGTACACTTATAGGAATGTCATTTGACCAAACCGGGGTGGGGAGAATTTTCTGTTTTAAAAATATTCATTCATTCTCATTAGTGAAAAAAATTTAATCCTCATCGCTGTCTCTCAAATAAATTTTGATCCCCGTTTTTATTCCCATCATTGCCAACATCTTTGTCCATTATAATTAATTTATATGATTTTAAAAAAATGACGACTTTTTTAGAACATTTTGAAGAACACCACTTTGCTGAACAGCAGAGGATTCGGACTAAAAAAATTCACTTGTACAAAATAATTCTCACTTGTGTTTAGATAGATGATTTACCACAAAAAATATACAAGTGGGAGTTTTGCTAGAAAGATTCACATATTTTTACCATTTTCATCTAAGGATACCGATAAACAATAGGATATAGTCGAAGGATAAAATAACAATTTAATGCACCAATTTTCGGCTAATGTAACATTTGTGAAAGTTCAAATCCACATAGCCTTATCTATATTTTCGCGACTCAATCTGACATTGATATTGTGGTTGCAATATAATATTACTGGTGCATTATATCTCTCCCTCTTCTAATGGTATTTGTGATCTCAATCAACTTGATATAACCCAGATCAATCAAAATATAAGCCTTTTGATGCCCTAAAACAGAGAGGGGCACTACAGTCATTACAGACGAGGTCTTAGATTTGAAGAAGTAAAAGTACATAAGATTTGAAGAAATGAAAAACAGAAAATAACTGGGTTATACTCTGTGGCTATAAATACTCCAAGAGGAGACCAAACTTGGACACAGAACTGAGATATCAGACCCATTCTTAACACTTGAACAGCTCTTTGATTCCCATTCCTACCCAGAGAGTCCAAAATATTCTGACTATTCTCTTCTCTGTTCTTCACTCCACCTTTCATATTTCGTTTCTCACCTTTTACATGAATATTTGCGCAAAAATCTCTTAGTTTTGAGAGCAATCTCTCTCCAGTTCTGCTCTAGCAAGCGTACTTCTCTGGATCACTGGCCTTCTAGCAAGAAATACCAGCCAGTAACTTTCTTTTTCTCCTTAATCTGTTCTCTCTGTTTGTGAGAAACATCAATCTTTTCTCTTGCATCCCATTATCTAATTTTTTTTTTTCATTTTTCAACATATTAAAGACCAGTTTACCCCACCAATATCCTCATTTTGAGAGGCAAAGGGGCAGTTTTTTAGTACCCTGTGTCCTCCTCTGCTTTCTCCTGGAAAATATAATCTCACAACGAAAATTAGGAGAAAAATGGATCGACTTCAAGGAAATAAGGCTTGGGTCTTTGATAATAGTGCTGACATTCGATCTTCGTTGTCAAATCTCATATTAGAAGGTGGCACGAACACCTTGGATTCAATCTTTTCTCATTGCCAGCCATCAACCCCCATGCCCAACCATGTTTTTGAGCCACTAGGCTCTTCTGTATATCTCCGCCAAAGAGATTTACTCCAAAAGTTTTACGATGAGAACAGAGCAAACCCAGCAATCTCACGAACTTCGCTAATCAACCCATTTCAGAACTCTGTTTACCCACAAAATTTTGGTACTCCCTTAAAGAAAAAGCTGTACAGAGGAGTGAGACAGAGGCATTGGGGCAAATGGGTAGCTGAAATAAGACTTCCTCAGAACAGATTGAGAGTTTGGTTGGGAACTTATGAAACAGCTGAAGCTGCGGCCTATGCTTATGACAGAGCAGCCTATAAGCTTCGTGGTGAATATGCACGGTTGAATTTTCCGAATCTTTGCGACGCAAGCAAGTTTGGATTCGAAGATTGTGCTAAATTGAATGCTTTGAAGAGTGCTGTGGATGCAAAAATCCAAGCCATTTGTCAAAAGGTTAAGAGAGAGAAAGCAAACAAGAGAGGTAAGAAAAGGAGTTCTAGGGGTAATGGAGATAAGGGTAATGAGAGTAAAAACGTGATGACGGTTGATTCATCTTCGTCGTGCTCGTTGATGTCATCGTCAATGACTGGCAATGGCAGTTGGAGTAATAAAATGGTGTCAGCAAGTAATTCTGAAGATGGGCTCTGGATGGGAGAGAATTCACAATGCTCTGTTTCCGGCGAGTTTCCGGCGGCACCGGATGAATCAGAGTTGGAAGGTTGTTCACTGGCGCGTTTGCCTTCCTTTGATCCAGAGTTGATTTGGGAAGTTCTTGCCAGTTAGAAGAAAATTTTACTCTGTTCTTGAGTTAATTAGAATTTCAACTTTTTACCACAGAAACAAAAATAAAAACTGTTGTTTCTGTTTTTATTTTTTTTGAAAACAAAAAAAGGAAAGTTCTGGCTCAATTCATCAAGCTATCAAGTCCAAGTGTTTCCACAGTGAGTAGGATAAATTGTAGGTTGTTTATACCCTATCTTCTATTGGAAACCATTAAGACTGTTCTTATGGTTGGTGTAGAACAATTAAAAGAAAAATCTGTTAGACGTTGAGATAGTACTAAATTATTGTCGAGTGTAAAGTCATTTTGAAGCATGACATTAGTGAAAGGATTCTAAAATCAGTTACCATTAATCAGATCTAAACAGTCGTATCAATGTACAAAGGTCCTAATCATATCAGGTAAGTGATAGGCAATTTTACTTTCATTTAAGGCAAATCAATTGTCGAACTCAATATCAGGCCGGCAGTGGGGGACTTGGGGTCCAATTTTAAAAATTTTTAAATTTCATGTAATATTTTGAAAATATTAAATTTTTTTGCATTGATGCGACCACACATCCTGAAACGTTTAACAAAATAAATGTTTTGCTCGTCAGTGACCAGCCTAACAGATTCATTCTGTAGTTTGGCCAAGAGATGGTAAATTGTATGCATTCAGGTGATGATATTCGACATATGGTAAAGATTTCCTTGCAAAGGTGATTGAAACTTTGAAACAACACCAAGAAACTAGATCAAGCGATTTTCACTCAACGCTTTGTAGGACATGGGACAATATCCTTGAAAGCTGCTGGAGCACCTCCGAAAACTGATACATGGTGATCGGATTAATAAACAACACTACCAGCTCATTGAGTTCTTTGACTGCTGAACTTTGGCACCATAAGAACTTTCTATCTCCTCCTGCAACCGCATGAGAAACATTATTTTGGTTTGTGAACAAAGAATATAAAAAGTGATGTTCTCTGTAATTGACAAGACCAAGAGAAGAGATAAATTCTTCTCTTGGACATCATTCTATCAACATCTTAGTTGCAGAGCCAACATCATTCATATGATGCTTTTTTTTTTGATCGGTATATGGCCTGCTTTTGCCCACAGGAAAAAGGATATGATCTGTGCATAGGCTTGAATGGATAACAAACTATAAGCCATGTGGAAAATCTAATCTCACATCACAGAATTCCAGGCCGATGAATTACCACCAACAGCTCTAGAATTGTAATCTGCAATTGACACGTCATAAGCTCTGGCAGGCCAATATGACCGGCGCAGAAAAGGAATTGAGGAACCAAGGGGACGGATATTAAAAGGTACCAACTAAAAAAGGGTACAAAAGTAAAAATAGGACAAAAAATGTTAAAGAAATGAGGCATACCTTGCAAGATTTCAGAAGAGGCTGCAAGAAGGATGATCTGAAATAGCTGACAGATTTTCCAATTGAGCTCCTATCCCATTCTGCCATCAGGTGAGCCCACAAACGAAAAACAAGTCATACTTAAAAGAACAATCTCCCCTCATAAATGAACCTACTTACCCCTTTAAAACTTTTCAAATCTTAGGCTATACTTGATCAGGAGATCCAACTCACCAAAATATAAAGGGGCACAGAAGTTGTGTGGGGAAATAAAAAGAACTGACGAATGGAATGGACAATAAGTCGGTGAATATTTTGTGCCCTTGCATCCTACCACGTTATCTTTGTGAATGCATTGTCATTAGAGAGGTAATAAATGATTATTTGGACCCAAAGATATGATCACTACAACTGGGGATTATTGGAAACAGAAGCTGGAAATATTCAAATATCCAATATCAGTTGACGTACCATTATCACCTTCTGCCCTCAAACCACCCATCATGTTAAGCTCTCCCAAAAGCTGAAGATTTGACAAAACAAATTCATTAGTTAAAGTAGTTTTAGAATAGCAAAACCAAGATGCAATGATTGATATAGCACCAAACAAAAGCATTTGTCCATCTTCGACATTTCACCAGAATTTAGTAGAAAGGTCTATAAATAGTGTTCATGTTATCCAACAGGATATATGTTGAGGACCCAGATATATATATATTGTTAAGTTGCACCAAACAATGGATTATGAGATTTCAAAAGCAAGGATCATCTAGATATCTAGTAGCACGCATGTCTAACAAGAAATTGATGGTTGAGAATGCATAGCATGAAAAAATGGCAAATGTTGCCACATTACATCCAAGTAAGAAAGTACAATTACAAAACCACTGAGAAGAAAACATGGGTAGAAAATTGATAACCAAAATTAATCTGAGTATGTTGCATCTAGAAACTTACAGAAAATTTAGTCAAATAAACATCTAAGGCAGCCGAACAATACAAGATTTTGAATTTTCAGTCTCAGCCGTTGTTGACTTTATGGTATCTGAAGAGGTGCCACCGGTATACAAACAGAATACAGGTGCGGAACCATGAATCCTTTTTCAGTCACGAAACACTTTGGTCCGTAGGAATTCATATGGTATAACCTCAAAATCACATAAATTAAGTTTTAAGAACTTAAATTGAATCCTGCCCAAACTAAGCTGATCATCTTGGATGAGAAATAAAATATGCCAATACTTCCCACCATATAGACTCCTTCAGCCAAATGGAACGTTTAATTTAGGAATTGAGCTCAGTAGTATTCTTTCAGCGTTATAGTTAGTGTGTCCCAGTTAGAAAACATTTCTTATGCATACGTTTAATAAGCTATAGTCATTAAAATTATGCTGAAGCAGATGCAAAAAGATTAATCCATCTTAAACATGTACCTCAGTCCCCCACATTATCCAGTTCACTATAGAAGTCGCAACTCATAGAATAATATGTTTTGTTAAGACCCTACCTTGGAAAGGGTTGGCACAGAGGTAGGATCGAATTCCTCACAATGGTTTGGATCAATAGGTACACAAACACGACCTGAAGAAAAGGAAAGGAAATAACATGCAATTAACATATCACACTAAGAAGCTCCAGAAAGATTAAAAGTCCACTAGATATGGTTGATGTGTGATTAATTCAAATTCCAACTCTGATGTTTGATAAAGAAGAGAAGAATCCAAAGTTTGCTCAAAAAGATAATTGTATTCTTTTGTGTCATATCCAAAAGAATTAACGTTTATCAATAGCCAGCCAGTCACAACACTTATTTTGCAATAACTTGGACATTCATATTTCACAAGGTTAAAAAATTCAAGATATTAACCTGTTTTGGGGTGTACACAGAATGGTGCCTTCAGCAAATGGTTCATGTGTCTTGAAACCTGAGATATGGAACCAAAGGTTCTGTGTGAAGTGCAGCAACATAAATTACATGGATAGAAGAATTCGTATTTGAGTCCTATAGAATACATACATCTCATTTTCTTAACTTATGACTTTCAGAAGCTCATGAAACAAAGAAGACTAGGGTTCAAGTTTACTGATTTTTCTTTAAAAGAATAGAAGGTGAGACGGGAAGACCAGAACAAACCTCCATATCAAGCCTAGGATAGGTAAAAGAGAATACAATCTCTTCAACACACCTACGAAGCCCCTGTGCCTGAAACAAAAAAGGGAATAGTTAATGTTTTTAGCACAACCACAGCATACAACATTAAATCCAGTTCCCTCTGTCATTTTTATTAGAACGCCTGCTCCAAGACATATGTTCTCAAACTCAGCCTCAGTATACTTGAAACAGATGCAATACAAATACCTATTAAGTTTGTATAGTATTTTTTTATTAGTGTTCATTGCACTAATAGGGAAAGGGACAATAAATTTAGCATTCACAGAAAGATATTAAGGAACAGAAGGACATGTCCAGTAATATGACAAACGTACCTTCTGTTTCCCAGATTGCAACAGATGTTTTACTTGCTCCCATCTGACAACATTAATGTCTTCTTTTGAGATTGAAGAACGCCTGTTCTCTTGCCATTTTCCCCGAAGCTCAGAAGTTATGGCTGCAAAGTGAACTTCTGTTTATTCAGCACTGATTGACGCAAGTCAATATATAAGAGGAGACAATGGTTAATATAAGTCAGATTTGCATTACATTCGTCAGGAATCATCTCCAGTATCTTCTCATATCTCTCCTCATTGGAAAACAAATTTTGACTACGAAGCAGTTTCTCCTCGAAGAAATCTTTCAAAACATCAATGTATGATCTCCTGCATATATGGAATGAAACTCCGTAAAAATTTGGATTATATAGAAGATTAATGATGTAAATCAGAAACTTACACAAGGAAAGGATGAAGTGCAGGACCCACTAAAGAAACCTTTTTATTACTATTCTCATTGCCCTGAGCAAAAATTATAACTCCGTTAAACCCCATTCTATTGGAGATTCAAAAAAATTCAGCTGCATTCAGAAACAGCTGTAGACAACCTTGTACAAACGAAAATAATCAGCAATAGCCGCCCTTTGCTCATTATTCAATCTGGGGGTTGATGGCAGTACATGTCAAACCATCAGAAAGTCATTACAAAATATAGCAAACCAGAATGAATTGAACTTGTACTTATAAACTACATGGAACATTACCTTCTAGCCTTTCCATCACAAACCCAACAGTGGACACCACGTCGCCCACTATACACCCAGAGAATATGGTTAAATCCAAAGTCATCTGCAAAAAGAGGTCCAGGAAAGCCTAGTTTAGCACATGATAAGCTATTACCAAGATTTTTTAAACACAGATTCACAAACAAAAGCAGAGCAAAACAATAAGGAAATGTACACATGGGTTCATATAGTAATGTCAGTAAGTACCACAAAATCTGTTCCCTAAGTTTCCCATAGGTGAAAATTTTAACATATATCAACTCCAACCCACATGCAGCAGGATGGACGAGCCTAGGAGGCATATATCATGACTCGTGCTAAAGTCATATAGCATACTTTATATTGTTTTCTTAATATTTTATCGATCACTATCATGTACTTATATTATTTTCACTAATTAACATTGTTTTTTTGTGCAATTAACTATAGTAAATGTAATATTTGCATGTTATTCACATAGCAAATCGTAGAAATATAAAAAGATTAGGTCTTTTGTCAATAATTTCTTTTGATGATGTCAGCTATTTCAAACAATATATCAATATACCACTTTACCATCCTACTGCTTTCGCAGCAAATAGCTATTGCAGTGCTTCTGCAACCACTTTTGATCCATACGAGAAAGAATCACAACTAAATCTGACAAATATCAGAACAGCAATGCAGAATATTAATACCTCTGAGGGCAGTATCAATCACTTTAATAGCAATGGTCATTAATGGCCAGCAGTCCAAACAAACATCAGCTCCTGAACAGCAATATCTAATATCATCATAATCTGTTATATCCTGTGGTACAAATTTGTCATATAAACATGTTAACTGCTATGATGTTGCTTCTAGAAACTTCAGTTAAGGTGTATTTATTAAGAAATCAATCAACTTACTATATCAAATACTAGCTCTCTCTCTACTGGAGTGAAAACGTTTTCACCAGCTTGAGCATATGCATGCCTCTTTGCAGGCTGCATTACAGGTCAAAGAAAGATTCATCAATGAACAATATGTTATAAAGGATTACTATTTTTCCAAGCACATTGAAGAATTATTATTTAGAGGAAAGCATAGGCAGGACTCCTGGCTTAAAACTCAGCTTTTCTACGCTCAAATACACCATGATCAAGAGACGATTCCAAAAATGAGCACTATCCAGAATGAAAGGGCTGGACAGAACAAATTTCTCATACTAAAGAATATTATATTCTTTCAAGTTACTGATTGCCTATTCTGAAAAGGCTGAACACTCTATAGAGTATAAAAGTCAGCCAGCACACCACGCTTGCTTGTATCCACTCACACACGCAGCAAAGGCAGCTGCCAGACTATAATCACCACACAACTCTTGCTCTATTAAAATGAATCTTTAATTACAGAAAAAATCTGCGGAAATCTTACATCCACAGTGTATACAGGCCCAATATCTATTTTGAATGGACATTTCTCTTTGATGGAATTTTCCAGTTCAGATGCACTGTTGAAAGACTGAAACCGCAGATATATGTCATTGTCCAATGTGAAAGAAAACTCTCTACGCCCAAAGTATGACTGGTCACATCCAGGATGCTTTCCATCTACGGAATACAATCATGACTGATGGTGAAAGAAGTAACATAAAACAATGGGGGAGATAGAAAAGGGACAGGTTGGTGCTTTACCATTTCCATATGACATCCATTTGAAGATATCAGCATGTGGAAAAAGTTTGCCTTGCATGGATAAAAATTACACTTTAGTTCAAAATTACTCTATGGCCATATCGCACAGACATACGTTATCAAAAACAAATACAATATAAATATCGAGAACACCAGTTAAGCAAAACCAAAACCATCAAGAGTAATAATCAGTAAGCACTACCCATAGAATCATGCATCTAACATTGAGCATAATTTCACAATGAAACCCATTACAAGAAATCCATAACTACTCCCAACTTCTGCACAGTGATAATCTAGCCACCTCAGTTTCAGCAGAGGCCAAAGCAATGCAGCCTTCCACAGGTTTTTCATTCCTTGGAATATAATCATCAAGATTGACCTCTTTTAGGAATCCAAATACGACATTAATGGGCACATCAATGGACAAACAAAGCTTTGCTAATTAAATATCCACACCATGAAATAATTAGGCTCACAATAGTCCTTTCAGGAAAAATAAGTCATAAGGGAATTACCATCCAGCAAATTACACTTAATAAACATGAGTTCGAATGATGTAACCAATTACCATAGTAAACTTTGAGGTAATTCGGGTCAAATCCATCGGGAACGGCATTGTCCAGCCTCTGTTGAGGTTCACATCCATCGATTAGCATGTCATCTCTGCTATCCTCAGCTTCTTCTCTAGTCATGTTTAAATACTATACTTTCTCCCCAAATCAAAAAAGGGTGCGGCCTGTGATTTGAAAAAGAAAAAAATTGTTGTAAATCTACAAATTGCAGATGTAAAGAAGAGCATGTTGAAGATATGAGATCCCGAAGATCATAGGGTCAAATCTGTAGATTAGTATGGTTAACAATCTGGTTTGATTTGTTCCTACGTGGGACCAATAAAATGAAGACTTAAAAACAAGGAGAAGATATTTTAAAATAAACCAACCCACAGATTTCCACCAAACAAAGCCTTTGGCCGACAATGGCTTTTGGTTTTTATCGTCTTCTTCTGTCGAAATGGCGTAGTGGGTGAAATCAAAAATCTGATTTCAAGGTCCACCTATTTGCCGACGGCAGAATGAGAAAACTGATTGATAGTTTCAAAATAAAAACTAGAGGATGGAATTTTCTGGATTATATCGGCAATACTTGGTTTATCAAAATCAGATTTGGATCTATGAATGGTCTGATACACCGAGATTAACAACATCAAAACTTCGACGGAGTTTGATATGCGCCGGCGATATAAATAACTGGTGAGGGATGAGAGCTGCGTCGATCTTGGTCGGACAACTTTCCCGACAGTATGCTATCTCTCCAAAACTCTCTCTGTTTGTTGCAGAAAATGTCCGGTGACCAAATAGAGTCTGCCGGAACAGATTATCGGTCACCAGGAATGGTGCCGCTCTGATACCATGATAAGAAGTTGATTGTTCAAAACAATAATCAACTTCTTATCAGAGTAAAATAGCGGTAAAACATAATAAGAATGTAAGTTTCAAATGCGATGATATGCTCAACATGAATTCCTAACCCTAATGTGATAAAATAACACTAAAATCCGAGGATCATATGTACATTTGCAGATAAAATCTGCACAAAAAAGGTAACGAGTGAAGCTTACGACGTGACTGAACTCAGAAGTCCAGGCGGTGGTCGAGGCCTCGATCCACAACGGACAAGATCAGAAATGGCGGGAAAGAGTGACGACTGATCTGGTGAAGCAGGGACTTCTGGCGGGAAAATAGAGGAATGGGGAAGTGGACTTTTGGATCTGTCATTAGGGCCCGTTGCTACATTGGATCACTGGTTAAGTTTGGAATAACAACAATGGGCCTTGAAGCCCAGAAATCTACCCGATTCGTTTGCCTACATAAACATGTTCTATTCAAAGTCATAGTTTTAAAATTCGGCCCAGATACCAACCCAAAAAAAAGATAGAATCAATGAATTAGTGGTTCAATCATTGAATTATTAATATAATAAAAAAATAAAAATAATAATTATTAATAATAAATAGGTAAAAAGTTATAAAAAAGATTAAAATAACATGTAGATATGAAAAGTATTAAGGGCATCTCCATGCTATTCAAATTATGTAATGAGAATATTAAAGCTTTCTTTTTCTTTAATGAAATCAACAATATATGCTTCGTCCATTAGTGCATGTAATGAGCTTCGATTGTAAACCTTAATGCTCGAGGAAAATGGATGGCATGACAATGATGATATGTACTTGTTATTTGCAGGTTTTTGTGTTGATAGTCGATAGAAGTTAATGCTTGGTAGAGGAAGTTAATGTGTGGTATTTTGGTGTGCTATGGGAATCCATTTCTTGTGGTTATTTGAACAATAATATTGTGGTTGAGTTTCCATTATACCGAAAAGATGTGTGGGGGATTGGAGAACAAGAACTAGAACTAGGTCTTCTCTCTTTTCCCCTCCCTCACTGGGTGCGTGTTTGTGTGTGCATGACTATCTATGCTAGATCTTGATCTTGACATAGTGGCCTTGAACGCCCACTCATGAGAGCCCATCTATCATTTAAAAGAGACAACAATGCGCCAGTATACCGATGTAAAGTAAAGTTGCCAAATTTAAATTGATGAAACTTCAAGGTAGATCACATAAAGGGTGTTTGTGCTTGCTCCAACTCTCTTGGCTACCGAAGGCTGGGCCATTCTAATGTGGTACTTAGTGTTGTGTGCTTACAATGAGGCAATGCACTCTGGGATGCAGAGAAATTATTATCGCCCAGTTCCCTAACTTAATGCGTCACTGGGTTCAAACCGCATGGAACCTTAGTTAGAATCTAAATCTATTTTAATATTAGATTTTTTCAATTCCCTTGGTGTTATTCAAATTACCATAAATTTTAAGTGAGACTCGCAATAATTAGCCAGACTTCATGCAAATTCAAAATATAATTTTGGAAAAATTTAGAAGATCATGCATGTGCGGTGTGGAGTGAAGAAAGTAGGGAATCCATTATTAAATATCGGGATTTCCGTGATGGGTAGCAGATGAGAATGGTCTTCTTTAGATTTATTCAACATGTTGCCATTTCTTATCCAACTTTTAGTAAAAGCTGTGAAGCCTATTAAATGGGCAACCATTTGAAAGTGGTAGGACAAAGCCCTCAAAGAGAAAAGCACGTAGGGCCAAAAGATTGAAATCAAAAACTAGCTGGCAATGGTTTCACTTAATGAGCTGACCTGTGCTTAATGCGACGGCTTGGGCGATATAACATGTGAACCTCATAAACTCTTTCAATTAAAGTGATTCGTTTAGAGGGTTGGGATGCAATAAAACAAAGTTCTGGGTTTTTAGAGAATGTGTTTTTTTGTTAGCTACATTGTGTTATTGGTAGGACCCGGGACAGGATTTAGAACAATCATGTAGTGGGCAGAAGTTTAATTTCTGCTCCGTTTGATAGGAAAGATAAAAAGTTGGAAGGATGGAAAGTAGAAGAAATACATTTTCTATCCTTTAAAGATGAAAAGTAGGAAGGATACATTTTTCTTCCTTTGTGTTTGGTTGGATGGATAAAAAATAAAAATGACTATTTTTTTTTTTTGTGTTGACAATAGAGTCGAATCGTGTCATGTCAGATTTGTGTTACGTCATTATGAGTTTGTGTCAAATATTAGTCAAACCTAACTTAACTCATTTAACTAATTGTGTCATGTCGAGTTGCTAGTTAACCTATTTATTTTCGTATCGAGTTCGAGTCGTGTCATCGTATTGAGTCGAAATTTTCACCCTTAGTTAAGATGAATTTTTTTTTTTTTTAATTTAAATTTTTTGTATTTTTTAATTTTTAATTTTTTAAAAATTAAATTTTAAAATCTTTTAAAATATATATACATATTTTACCATTGTATTTTTATATGAAATTAATGTATACATGAGATATATAGACAAATAAGATACATCTCAACACAAATAATTAACTTCTCATCCACTTTCTTTCCGATTTTGGAGGGATTGCTTTCGGTGAGTTGGAAGGAAAGTTAATTCATCCACTTTTCTATCCTTCCTACTTTCCTTCCTTACCAACACATGATATTTTATCTATCCCTCCAATTTTTCATCCTTCCAACTTTCCATTATCTCATTTTTCTATCGTACCAAACGGAGCATTAGACCAATGAGCCGTTGGTCCAATGCGTAAAATTTTGAATTTTTTTATTTAATACTTGAGTTTGAATCTCTACAGCTATGCCAGTTCGTTTGAATTAAACTTATTTTTCAGCGTCCAAACCATGTGGTGGGACTTGATCTTCGGTCTTGACGTAAGCGCAGTGGGATCCCATAATGCTGATAAATAATATTCTCTGATAAATATGTAGAGTGATTTATTTGCATATCCATTTAAAGCACAAAAAAAAATCTAATTTAGGATGTTAAAAAAAATAATATCAAATTTTTGTTGATTACTATATAGTTATCCATGAGTATGATAATATTAATTTAAGCTAGAATGTCATAGGGACGCATAGAAGGAACGACTTTTTTTAGATTAATTTGGTACTAATTTTAAGAAAATATTATACAATTTAAATATAATTTGGTAATAATTTTTGAATTATAGTTTTTTAAAATTTATTTAAGTTATAAAGCATTACTCCTAATTTAATGTGCACTAGACCGGTCATGTGTAGACAATCTTCTTGGGAAACAAAATAATGCCTGACATAGAATTTATGAGAATCTCGACTCCTGAATTGCAAAAATGCTTTTCGTTATAAAGTTCATCCTTCGAAAGAAATTTCTTGCTCCTCTCTCCGGTCTGTACCCGTGGACTATCCGTTCTTCATTTATTGCTTTTCCTTTGAAAATAAGAAAAGGGAGAGAATTACACACACGTCCCTCATTATTTACCAAGATTTACATACTTGGCTTACAATTTTTTGAAATTGTATTACATCCCTTATGAATTTTTGTGTGTAATGACCGTCAATGGAGCATGTATTTTTGTATGTTTTACCCTTTTGCCTCAAAAATACATTTTTTAATCCAAACCAAAACATTACCTAAACACCTATTATGCTCATTAGGATACACTAATTTATATCCCTAAACTATTTTTTTTTCCCTTTGGTGGGATGGGTATGTGTGGTGCTAACAACAGAGATATTTACAATAGCCGTGGTGAGTGGTGTAGATGATAGGATAGCTCATGTGAGAGAGTTTTGTTAGGGTATTTTTTAATAGTAAAATATAGGTAATGGTATGATCAAGTTTGGATGGAATATACGTAATTGTAGATCATAAGGACAAAATGTCATTTATAAGAAACTATTTATCGATTGACTATCGGAGGACATTCCGTGAACTATAAAACTAAACTAGAATGGGCATATTATAATTTCAATAACTACAAAGAACTTTTCTAAAATTTCAGTAAACTACATGTGTACGAGTGTAACGTCTAAACTACAGGGGGTATGAGCGTAATCTTTCTCAAAAAAAATATATTACAATATAATAGTGTGATGTCCATGACTCTCGTGTCGTCTCGACTCTTCACTTAACTCTCACAAAGCATGACAGTTGCACTCTGTGTTGTATAACCACCCAGTGTTCCCTCCCGGAAACTCTCTCTCTCTCTCGTTGAAGACAATCACTTGTGGACAAACCCTTGATTTGCTAGTTCAGGTAGCTCAAAATCACAGGTTTGAAAGCTCATGCCTTTATATTTGTGTATTCACATAAGTGTTAGTATTTGATTTCTATTTTCTATAATGTTTGTTCAATTCCTTGTGTTCTGTTCTCTTTAGATTCTCCAAATTTCCACTTTTTAGCTGCAATCATTTCTTCAAATCTTTCGCAATATATGATTTTGCTCAATAATAAATGTAGATCTTGCTACTGGAGTTTTTCAATCATTAATGCAGATTAATCATCATTGATGATCTATTTGGAGCCTTCCCTTTGGAGCATTTCTTCATCTATATATTGTATGCGTGGTTAATTTACAGCCTTTCTCGGTGTTTAAGCCTGTGTACTTTGAAGCCATTCAGCAATGCCCTTCTTGGACGTACTCATTTGAAACTAATCACTGAATCACCGACAATTATTGATGTCTTAGCCGCAATCCAGTTCAAATTTCTCTGCGTTATTCCACAAAACCTTACTCCACTAAAGTCCCTTTTGTAGCTTTCTCTTTGTTACTCTCCTATTTTCCCAGTAAACACCCTAGAATTTCCACCGTTTTCACAGAAAATCCTTCTAGGGCTTTCATATTATTTTACCCTTTTGCTTTTCCGGAGAAATTCCCCTGAGAAAGGTAGAAAATTTTCCAGAGTCGAAAATGCAACCATTCCTTCCATCCACTTTCTTTTGCCTCGCCGCTGGATTATCGTTCATGAACTACTTGGCCGTCGCTGAGATAGTGACGTGCTCCGGATTAGTGCCAATGAGGTACAGAAACGATAAGATAGCGATCACTGACTTTGGAGGCATTGGTGACGGAATGACACTGAATACCAAAGCGTTTCAAGAGGCGATTTATCGGATTGAGCATTTGAAGAGGAGAGGAGGCACACTTCTTTACATACCTCCTGGGGTGTATCTAACTGAGAGCTTTAATCTTACCAGTCACATGACGCTGTATTTGGCTAAGTATGCTGTTATCAAAGCCACAAAGGTACTCACTCAATTTTTTTAGTTGTAACCTTATAATCTGAGTTGAAGAATGTTTTTTACTTTGATCACTGTGATTAGGGGGTGTTTGGAATCTCCAGAATTAGTTTACTGCAGGTCTACATTGTTCTGTGATATATGGTTGATAGGTAAACCAATATTGAGTTGGCCTGATAGACTCGCTTTGTGCCTTATTATGATTGTAGAGTTGAAACAATTGACAAAGATGTGACTTTAGTGTTGGTCAGCATAAAACCAGCAGTATGGTTGAACAGACGATAAGAGTTATTATCAATATAATACCACATTACTTAACATGCATGGAATGAGTTTAACATGAGTCTGTTTGATGAGTTAGCTCTGCACAGTTTTGAACACTCTTGCTTCCTGTAGTTGAACTAATTAAATGCTTAGTTGTCATGGCATTCTTAAGCTCAAGCTCCACTGTCCATGTACTAGATAGAAATTAGTCTCAATTTGCAGAGCTTCACTTTCTACAGCTTAACTGGGTGCTATCAGTGTGATATAACTGGGAGAGTTTCACTTTACAAACCTCTACAGCAGAATGAAATATGTGGATGTAGTGTGACTGTTGGAGAGTAGCACTGCACAAAACACCACATTCATGGTATGTTTAACTTGCTAAAGCACACAAAGTGGGACCCACACGAGCTCCACTCACTAGATTATTTTGAAGTGAGCTAAAGTTGTATGGGAAGACTATAAAACAAGGATTCCGTCGTTTAATAAATTGAATATTGTAGCATAGCCATGAACCATGGTGGGTCCTGCTGAATAAATGGGGCACCTGCATGCCTGTGCCTGGCATTTAAATTATTGACAACCCGTATGTGTGACAGCTATATAAAACACCAGCTATATCATTGTCTTCCCTTATTAAATTAAATTTAGCAATAGTCTGGTCCTAGATTTACTCTATTCAAGGAATTGCATTCATTTTATGGTTATTGTTATAACCCGGAGACAATGTTGGTGATAAATACCACAGGCTTTTAGTAAAGGTGATTTTTAGGGTAGCAATTTTTGTTAGGAGGATTATTTATAGTTGGTTGTCACAATTTAATTCTCTTTCCCAGTTGGTATATTCCACTGTATCACAAAGCCCAATATATTATGTTTGGCTGCTAACTATACTGTTTTGTTGCTGGCACATGCTTAGGCTCATTAAACTATAGCTTGTCACCTTTGGCTACATTGACCATGATCTGTCCAAAATTTAGCGCTGTTCTACTTGATGTCATTTCGACTGGACAAACTTCACTGCCCTGGTGTTATTGCGGTCTGTCGCCATTAAGCTCAATGATACGAAGTTAGTGACAGGTCTCATAATCACCTTCACCAAATGTACCAACACTCTGGAATATCTGAATTCTATACTGCATTGATTATCATTAAAAAAAATAAAAATCAGGGAGTTTTGCTAGAGACGCCGAGTTAGTAGGAGATTTTGACTGCAAATGTGATTCGTTTGAGTGTGTTATTTACCAAAAAGAACAAGAAAATGTCAAGTGCTTTTTATGTTTGTACATATATCAATCTCATACCCTTCTGTAACTTTTTGTGTGATTGATTCTTCAGGATACAAGGCATTGGCCTTTAATTGCTCCCTTGCCTTCTTATGGAAGAGGGAGAGAGCGTCCTGGAGGAAGGTATATGAGCTTTATCCATGGAGATGGGCTTCATGATGTGGTTATTACTGGTTAGTATGAACAAGAAAGTCCCTTATTCATTGATTATGGCTTGACAGAACTGTTTTACAGATACATATCTCAATCTTAAGCAAACCGCATTTTCCAAGACATTTGGAGCTGACTGATAAGCACAACATGCTGCATGTTAGAAAAACATATTTTCTAATTGATGCAGACACTTTGAGTTGGTGGCATCTTAAATTATGCTACAGATCTATGATTTTTTTCTTGTATATGGGAGTCCTATTCCAGTTTTTCTCAGTTGTGTATTTGAATTGTATTTCTTAGGTGAGAATGGAACGATTGATGGCCAAGGCGATGTCTGGTGGAACATGTGGAGACAACGAACTCTCCAATTCACTAGACCAAATCTTATCGAATTCATGAACTCCAGAAGCATAATCATTTCCAATGTGATTTTCAAGAACTCACCCTTCTGGAACATCCACCCTGTATATTGTAGGTAATAATTGAATAATTTTGACCTCACCATATTATATATTTTGCAGACAGATCTACAATATACAATAAAAAGAATTAAAGTTTTTCCGCACTAATCCTTTTTCTTCGGATAATAAACCTAATTTAGCATAACGGTACTAGTAATTGTTCCCAGTTAACATTTTAGGAAGTGATTGAATCACTTATTGTTCTGTTGCATTTAAGTATAAAATTCATGAGTATGTCGTCACAAAGTCTGCAAGGCAAAGTCATGTTGGTTCTAGTGTTGCTTCCTTTCTTTGTTTATGCAAGACATACTGAAGCTTGAGTAGATCAGTGTTGGGCTGCCCTGAGCTTAGATTGCACTTTTGTTATTGGTTGACTAGTCTGCAGTGGTCACAAATTTACTGTATAAAGTGGATTGATTCTAGCGTGATACACCCTAAGGGATTCAAATTTGGTCTCATACTTGTTTTCTTCTCTTTCTTGCCAGCAATGTTGTTATTAGATACGTCACCATTTTAGCTCCATCCGACTCTCCCAACACCGATGGAATTGATCCAGGTACATGGTATATTGCAATTTTTGTATCACTATGTGATATTTTAATGAACTGGGTTTACTTTTAATGTAAACAAAGGTATTCTCATCAGTATTACCATCTCCCCTTTATCTTATATTGGAGAAATTGGAAATGGCACACACAAGTATCACTATCAGTATGCTCCATTTTAATCCAGTCTGTCCTATGATTGCCTACAACTTGTCCTACATGATGACCTTTGGATTGATGGGATCAGTTGTTGCAAACTAGGGCTCTGCTAGTCTTTTTTAGAACTGCCCACTCTTGGTAATTGTAATTGTGTACAAGCTGCATGTTGTGGTTTAGATTATTTTCAGTTAGAGCAAGGGGTATGTCCATGATCATACCCTTTTTTAAGTTTAAGCAGCAACATTTGTGAAATTCTAATGCCATTTGTATACTTAACTCACTATTACAGATTCAAGCTCCCATGTCTGCATTGAGGACTCATTCATTTCTGCGGGAGATGATCTTGTGGCCGTGAAGAGTGGGTGGGATGAGTATGGGATTGCTTATGGTCGCCCTAGCCATGACATAACCATCAGGCGGATAACTGGATCATCCCCATTTGCTGGTATTGCAGTTGGAAGTGAAACCTCTGGTGGTGTGGAGAACGTATTAGCTGAGAATATAAACCTTTACAACATGGGAGTTGGCATCCATCTGAAAACCAACATTGGCAGGGGAGGGGTCATACAAAATATTACTATTTCTGATGTTTATATGGAAAATGCACGGCAGGGGATAAAGATTGCAGGTGATGTCGGGGACCATCCTGATGGCAACTTCAACCCAAATGCCCTCCCGGTCGTGAAGGAAGTCACAATTAAAAATGTATGGGGTGAAAAGGTTCTGCAACCAGGCTTGATCCATGGCCTGAAAGATGCCCCCTTTACTGGTATATGTCTATCTAACATCAACCTTCCTGGTGCCATAAGGCCAAGGAATTCACCTTGGCAATGTTCTGACGTAAGTGGGGCTGCTGTTCAAGTTAGCCCGTGGCCGTGTTCCGAACTGACCAGCAACCATCAGACCGGTGCATGCTCTAGGTCCTTCTAAGGTAATGTAATTTTTTCACTGTGGAAGTATTAAGATCGTGTGTAATTGTAATTGGATTATGTTAGATATGCATCATGATATAGATAACTTACATATGATCTCTGTTGTTCATCTGCAATAATTGTGCATTTTTTGCGAAGGCAAACAACACATACGAAACATATCTTAGAATTAAAACCGATATTTTATAACTCTTCCACAAGATTCTATGTTCTCATTTCTATTCGTTTATGTTGAGGAGGCATCATATCATGCTAACAATATACACAGAAAACACATAATAATCATATATAGGGACTGTATACTCTTCTACATCTCACATGGATGCAAAATTATTTGTAGAACAAGAACATAGACATACATACAAACCCAACGGTGCTAAGAACCAGGAATATATGATACAGATATATAGATAGACATATATGTAGTGACATGAATATCAAAATCTAAAAGTGGTTCAAGAACTTCCGAATGTGATTCATGAAACCACCTTCTTCTCTCTCCTCCACGCCATTCTTTTTCTCCTCTCTCTCATCCTCTTCCCCATTGCCAAAATGCTTCTTAAACTTCTTTCCAAACATGTGATGCTTCTTGAACAAAAACCTTGGCTTCTTCTCTTCCTCATCATTATCATCATCATGGTGGTGGTGATGGTGGTGGAACCTCATCCACCTTGCTGGAATCTGACGCACGTCCCCTCGCAACATACCAGCATGATCACTGTTCTCGGTGGCCAGAATCATGTCGTCTCCGTATGAAACCCGCTCCTCCGGGACGTGGCCGAAATGTTCCATTGGCTTCTGCTCTTCCTTCTCCTCTTCATCATCATGGTGATGGAACCTCATCCACCTTGCCGGAATCTGACGCACGGCACCACGCAACATACCAGCGTGATCACTGTTCTCGGTGGCCAGAATCATGTCGTCTCCGTATGAAACCCGCTCCTCCGGGACTTGGCCGAAATGTTCCATCGGCTCGAAACGTTTCATTCTCTTGAAGTGATGTCGGCACAGGCGAACTGGGTATAAACGTTTCAAGCGGAAGTGACGGTTGATCGGACGGAAACTGACGGTGGTTAACGGTCCAATCAGCGGGATCTGATTAACGGTTAAGGTTTGGGACTCTGGAAAATCATCGTTCGTCTTTTGAATCGGTAGAGTTTCTGCGCCGGTGGTTTCGATTTCTGTTCCGGGATTATGGAAGAAATTAGACTTCGCCTTCTCACTGGGGAGAAGAATTGGGTTGGCTTCAGATTCCAGAGCAGAATTTGTCAAATCCTGTTTGATGACTCCATTTTCCGGGGAGTTCGATGAAACGCGAGCGTCCGAGAGGGTAAAGAAGAAGAGAAATACGGCGACGGCGACGGTGTATCTGACCATTTTGATTTTGAGGAAGGTTTAGACTTTGGTAAAGGTCGTCAAGTTTTCCAAGGTCGTCAAGTTTTGCATATGTATGTGGGCTGGTGAGGTCGGGCACTTTGGTCAACTGATATTTCTGGTGGAGTTGGTATTTGGGGGAGAGGAGTGGGCTGCGGGCCGCGGGCAAGTCGTTTGTTTGTTTACCCTCCGCGGAATAGGACTTCCGTCAATCTCGGATCTCGTAAATTTGTTTGTCCGCTTAGCCTTCAACGTACTTTCTCACCTAACTTTCTGATTTAAATAATTAGGGAAAAAAAATACTTAATAATAAAGAGAGAGTTTTTTAAAGCTCATTTGCTAAGAAAATGATTATTTTAGTATACATAAAGATGTGTTGTCAAGTTATGGATGGAATTAAGATTCTTTTTATTATATTTTTACTTAATTTTATTTAATAAAAAATATTTATCTTGAATTCAATTAAAATTCACAATATATAAATGGACCGCCACTCATGTACAATGGATGAAGTATAATACAGAAAATATGGAAATTATGTAGAGAAAAAAAATTAGTTGCTCAAAATTAGTGGAAATTATGAGATAAAAAAAAATAGTTGGTTTGATGAATTGATCTGAAATTATTTTACACCCAATCTTGACAAGTTTGAATTATTATTTTTTATTTTATTAAAATATATTTCTATAACGTTGTGTGTAAAAGTTGATTTTAGTAAATTCTATAAAATAAAGAATGTGAAATTATGCTATGTCCAAGTTTGGCTCTCCCTCGAGAAACAATCCTGATTCCGTTCATGTATGCAAGCCTACACTCTGAATGACACAATTAAGACCACGACAGCTGCAGGAATCTGCTAAAAATTAGTGGCAAGTTTAACAACTGTAATTAGCATAAAATGCAAAGCTCCATAAAATTATCATTACATTTGAAGGCATTACTGGGGAAATCAAATGATATCCCAAATGAATAGAAATTCTTGGATGTGTATGGCTCAATGAGAAGAGTTGAGGAGACCCACTAATCTAATAATTACTATTAATTTAGAATGTCATTTGAGATCCCCTTAGCATTGCTCTCTCACTTATGACTTCAATTTTTTTAAGAAATGTTCACAGCCCTATAAGGTCAGATGGCCACCATCAGAAACTGCATACTGATTCTCTGACAAACGTCTGTATTAGAGGCTGGATCAATACTTAAACCATTTGATTATCCAACACACCAAACTAATTCATATAATCTATATGGCTTCAATTTTTTAAAAGAAATGTTCACAGCTTATAAGGTGAGACGTCCACCATCAGAAAACCGCGTCGTGTTTCACTGACAAAATATCTGTAGTGGAAACAGGATCAATACTTAAATCATCTGATTATACGACACACCCAACCAATTTATAAACATCTGTATGTCTTCTTACAATTTTTTGAACAAAGGTTCACACCTAATAAGGGTAGATAGCCACCATCAGAAACCCTGTAGTGTTTCACTGACAAACACATTTGTATTGGAATCTAGATAGATCAATGTTAATTCAAAATAGTTATATAGTTAGATTATATTAAATTGGGTGAAGCCTAACTTATGTAATAATAGAATTAAAATGGTAATGAGATAGTTTATTTATAGACCTTTAGTGGCTGTTCAGATAGCCTGAAGAGACATGAGATGCCACTGTTCAAATTAAAGATAAAGTGACACACTTTTTAATCTAAACAAGCAAAAGACACATCTGGAGGAAACAGCCTTTCTGGAATGAACCAGACCTAATTTTAGCACCAAATTCAAAGTAACGGATAAGAAATTTAAAAATTCGATTGAATTTAAATTTAAGTTAGGATTTTAATTACAATCTGTTTTCGAATTTAGTTGGTTTGACATATACTCCGCACCGCTCCAAATACATTTTATCCAAAAAGATTATATCTTTTTGCCCCAACCTCAACCCCGGCCCGATCGGATCATGGTCGTGGCGTGGTGAACAGGCGGCGTGCTTGCGTCCTAATCAAGGTAATGTAGGTGTTCACTCCGCTCACAAAAGTGTGATATCCCTTGGGGCCCAGTCCATGAAGCCAACTAAGAATATATTAACTCATCAAAGTGTTGGTCTTCTTCTTATGTGGGACAAGCCTTATTCCACTATACCAATCTTAATTTATTTTATCACTTTAAATGAGTCACTTTGAGATATAATTTTTCATTTAAATCTTAATGGTTTTGAACATATAAATATATCACGTTAATCTCCTTGCGGTGGAGAACCCGTTTTTAACCTTGATCCTACCAATTGAAAGGTGTGGGTTCCACTTTTATTTAATCCTCAAGTTGCTCAAATAATCTAGTTTAAAACCATTTTTGCAACAATCCCCCACTAGAATGAAAATTCGATATATGATAATGTAGACACGGGTTCAAGTACGAGTGAAAGGTAGTAAGCATTTAGATAAATAGTCAATGGCCTTGAACTTTTCGTACTGACAAACTATCGTATTTATTTGGCTAATTAGTGGACATGATGTTTTTGAACTGTCAGTCATTTATATAAACCAAGATAATATAATTCATATAGTTTTCCTTCGGACACAGTTGGTTCTCATGTTTATGTTTTTTTTGGCATTGAACACCACTTGATTTTATGAGTAGTTTTAGTGTAATGAGCTTATGATTCTCATAGAAACAACTCATTCTTTACTTATATAGGTGATTTCTAATTAAGAATATACTGCTATACCCTACTTGGACATTTTCAAATCAAAGAATATCATTAAAAATGTAATTTACCTTGGTTCTCATGGCAGATATGCATTGTCTCATCATAAAAGTGTGAAAGAGTTTAGAAAATCTCCTCAGTGCGCACTGAATTACACAAAATTCGGTTATCCCTTTGAACTTAGATCTTAAAATCTCCAGTCAGCTAAGTTGAGTTGTTATTATGGTGACTCTTGGTTAAGTAATAATATTTAAGCCAATTTCCCTTGATGAACTTTTCACTTGCTCTTTAGTTGAAACTTTTCTAAGCAGATCCGTAATATTATCCTTTGACTTCACATAGTCAATAGATATAATATCATTAGAGAGTAATTCTCTAACGGTATTATGTCTACAACGTATGTGTCTAGACTTACCATTATACATACAATTATATGTCATTCTAATAGTAGATTGGCTATCACAGTGAATGCATATTGCAGGCACAGACTTTAACTAATTTAGAATATCCTCTAAGAAGTTACAAAGCCATTTTGTTTCTTCTCCAGCTTTATCTAAAGCAATGAACTCAGATTATATTGTAGATCTATAACGACCCAAAATTTGTCCTAAGACATTATTATCTAAAAATGATCCAATCACGAGAACAACTACAATAACCATTAAATAATAAATCATTTATCCATCTAATAAAGAATAAATACTAAAGCTAATAAAATATTGTAACTTCTCCAACTTACAATTCAAAACTAAATAGTATCTAGCAGCGGAATAATTAAAACTAACTGAAACATTATTTCATAGAAATCTCTCAAACTGAAAACTGACAACCACACACTACATCTTGATTCACTACATCTTGATTCTCCAACGGTTCATAATCAACCCACTCATCCACATCGATATTCTCTTTTATGCCAAAATCTGTAAGTGTGTGGTTATAGGGGTGAGCAAAAACCCGTACGAAATTCCTTTCAAATCCTAATAAGATTTTAAAATAATAAAAAGAAGGCAAGTCTTTTTTAGAAAATAGAATATATAAATTTTTGAGAGTAAAATCATGAACGTTGTAATGATCTCAAGTGTATGGAATAAAGTAAATCAATAACAGGAATAAACTTGTAAAAAATTAAAACAATTAATAAATAACTCAGTAGCATCATCCCATATTCTCATGTATGTTGGTTGCTTATCAGGAATGTACACAACGATTCTACCTCATTCATCCACCACAAACCAAACAATCTCAATCATTTCTCGCATGACACATCACAAACCACTTTAAGAATGATGTATACCGTCTCCCACGACATTGACAAATCTTTCCCAAAAAATGTATATTATCCCTCAGCATCGAACATACGTGAAGAATAGTAGTTGATCTCACAAACAACAATACACTATATGTGTTAGACAACCATCTTACCCCCACTAGGATAGATTAACCTCTAACACTTTACGACAGCTCTCGAAAGCAATTCAAGTCTGTTATAACAAACCATACAAGAGATGAAACCACAACTTTCTCAATGACTATAATCTTAACTAATCACATTTTTTATTATCAATTCAAGTATCACAATTTCACAATTCTTAATATGCTATCGTAATAAGAAATTAAAATATGTAAGAGATCATCTTAAGAAACATTTGTAATTTCGATATCAAAATTTTAGGGTTTAGCCCAAAATCACAATTTCTTGGGAACAAAACAAGTGTTAGATGAAAAACATGATTTAATCAAGAATATGAATCTAGAAATCAAGAATCTATGTATTTTTTACAATAGAACAAGTATTTCTTGAACTCAAACATGTAGTTTGTTCAGTACTCCGTTTCAATGATAAACAAACCAAGAAATCATAAGTATTCATTTTATAACTATCAAGAAGATTGAAATCATACACATACAATACCCCAAGTCTCAATGAAAGAACTCAAGAAAAATTTTTTACTTTGGTTTCATAGTTTGTGTGTAAACCTAGCGTGTTTAATCCATTCCAACATAAAAATCTCTCTTCAATCTTGTGTTTCTCCTCTTCTCTCTTACTCTTTAAGGCTCTCTAGAGTTAGAACTAATGAAATAAGGTTAGAGAAGACATCCTTAGGCATTTATAGTATGAGAAAATAGTCCAATCAGCGCAAATCTGATACTCATAATCGTGACCTCACGTTCGAACTAGAGACTTGACGTTTGAATGTCATTTTGGTTTTCGAACATTGCTTGCTCTCAATACTTTTGTTTTTCCATCAGAGTTTTTGTCAGACACAAAAGTATTGGGATTAACAGTCGTTCGAACATATTCATTCACTTGCTCTCAGAACATATTAGGGTAAAAAGTTATGGTTCAAATATTAAGGCAGTGTCAATTTTTTTTCTACCCAAATTCTATCTAAAATGAGCTTTTAACTCCATAATACTTTCTAATTTTTACTACACACCCTATTACCTCTCCTAACGTTCTTATTTATACTCTTATAATTTATATAGTTCATGTTTATGTC